CGGTGCCTCCGCCGCAGGCCTGGGTTATGCAGTCCGAGGTTACAATTTTACGCCCGCAAGTTCTTGGGGCGCGATAAGAGGCGGTGTCTCATAGAGCTTCGGAAGTCAGGGAATCTGATTCAGGGTTCAGGGTGCAGGGCGTAGGTAAACCTTAAGCCTGGGTCATGTTAGGATGATTTTGAAGTGTTTTGATGCGCGGTGCCAGGTCACGACTTTCGGCAAGACAGTTTTAAAGGCTTGCTGTCGCATCGGGCTTCGGATGTCAGGGAATCTGATTCAGGGTTCGTGGTGTAGGGTGCGCTCTGTAACTATAGGACTTAAGCCTTCGCTTTAGTACGGCATGGTTTTGATATGTTTTGACTGAGGTTTGTTGGGAGTTGCGCTGGTTCGGTAGTTGTAACTACTTCTTCACCGTAACAAATCTCATAAACGCTCAAAACAATATTGATCGAGGGGCGTTGTACACGCAGAAGCCTTGAAGCCCGGTGCCTCGTAATCAAGCGAGCAGCTTGGGGTGGACAACTCTGACAGCACGTATCAAGCACGAAGAGTCACATACAAAGAAAGACAAGTGAATATGATACCAACTCAAGTTGCAATTGTCAGCGAGCTTACGGATGCGGTCCAGGACCTTGGATGCCGCGACGGAAGCTACAAAGAAAGAGCAGTCTACTTCACAGGGACAAACGCAGAACTTGTCTGATAGCAATTCCAAGGAACAAGATCCACGATCTCCTTGCCAATCGTATAGTGTCCGCGAGCAAAATTGTTTCTAAGTTGGCAAGATGTTGACGGCAAAAAGTTAAGTGCAAAACAACAGCAACACTCCTGCGAGTCGGCTCTTGCTTCTGTACGAAGTTTGAAGCTTGGAACTAGGAAGACTTACAGACAAAATCACAGAGGCGGAACGCAAGAAGGAAGATGAAAGGACCAAGAAGGAAAAAGGAAGACAGCTCTTAGGCACCGAGGATCGCGGCATCTTCCTTTCCGGAGATGAGCTGCTCCGGGTGGAAGAGCTGACGATAAGTACCTGCACCGGCCCACACAAGCCCATTGTAAACGCTGACTATTTAGCGCTTTAGAAAATTAGTCTCTCACATTTCACGGCAGGCATTAGGGTCTATACAAAGCTTCTTAACTACCCAAAGAAAGATTTGCAAGGACAATCCCGGTAGGTAGAGACATGCAATGTTGACTTGTGTGCTCTCTTTGGCTCTTTGGGAGGCGAGGGTGTCCTGGATGCCTGTGCGGACCTCATCCACGACGGTCGGCTCGAGATCAACCTGCAGTCTTCATTTCGCTGTAAATGCAACATCCTGGCTAGTGAGATAAGGTGCAAGACCCGTAACGGCTTGGTGGTACTGTCACATACCCGGAGAAGGGCCCGTCTGGCTCACGGGATAGGATGCATGGCTCTTGTTGAAGCTTCAACTCTTGTGGAGTACAAGGTGAAGCTATCAAGATGGCAAGTACCCACCCCAAACAAACACAAAAGTCGAAATGTCACGATGTGGGATTCCACGCTGGTCCAGGAAGGGTAGCCTACTGTACAAGCCGATATAGTTAACTACCAAGTTCAAGATAATTTCGAGGTCCATTTGAGGTGCCCTATACCGAAACGGTATAAGGCATCTGGGACCGCAATATGCGTAATTGTTGTGACCCCTGCGCTCCCTAATGTACTCTGCCGAGCAGCCATCACGCAGCGAGGCACGTGCTTACCAGCACCTGTCCTGGGTGTCAAACTGTGGGGATCGATTGCCAAGGGATTGTGCGCAAAAGTTTTCAATGTAGGCGCATGAATATTTGTAGGGATTTGACGTATGTGAGACTCTAGCTTTATGCAGGCTTTTACAGTAGAGCTGAGAGTTTCTAGATTCTAGGCCTTGCATGCGATGGGTGTGCCGTATGAGCCTAAGGGTTTGCCGGGAATCTTGAGGGTTCCAAACTATACGGTGGACGGACAATACCTAAACCCTAGGCTCTAGAAACTCTGGTGCCAAAGTACACTTAGACTTAGAGTCATGCAGGATTCTGTCCATCAAGAGTACGGACGCAGGGAAGACCAAAAGTCTCAAATGCATAGGAGGTGCTCACTGAAGAATGTGTTGAAGGCGTCCTGCAAAGGAGGCGGGGTGCTGGATTTGAGATTGGCATGAGCAGAACTACCAGGTTCAGGTCTCCCGAAAGAAACGGACACTTCAACAGCTAAGACAAGGATCTACGAGGACACAATGAGTTCTGCCACGCTTCACATGTTCTGTCTACTTGCTGCTGAGCCGCATCTCCGCCACCAATCCTTAGATGCGTTTGCTCTAAAGCCTGTCTAGAGTAACTTCTTAACGCCCAAAATTCATAAACTCAGACTTGCTGTGTTACCAGATCCTTGTGTGCAAATGTCACACTTGGCGTCTTCCGCTCATCTTTTCATGGCTTCCAATACCATGAGACTCGCTGCTCAAGAGTCCCGAGCATCCCCCCTAAGTGCAAGGAAGGCCTAAACACTTCAAGTAGGGCCTGGGGGATATGTCATACTGCAGCTTCATAGGGGTTATAACAAGATCATCAGCCCAAAGGCAGAGGGGTATGCTAGATAATATTATACAATAATTACGCAGATATACAGAGAGTATAGGGGAACATTCTAACCCAAAGGCAGCAGAGGATCGTCTTGTCGGAAGGCATCTGGCCGTCAGGCTGGATGCCGTGCTCCAGGCAGAACAGCTCCCAGCAAGCATTGCCAATCTGAACGCCGCCCTGACATCAAAAAGCATCCCAAGATTTTGCAGCCCTCAGGTGGTTCAACGAAAGGACACGAAGAGTCGTGAACAGATCGAGGCAATGCTAGGCAGAACACACTTGACGTAACGTGGGATAAGATGACAGGAGCCCTTGTTTGGATTTTGCAAAAGTTGTTCGATTGCAGGGCATTGCGCCTGGCCAATGTGTATGCAGATTGCCTCACGCATGGCTGCAAAGTCGGAAAGCGTCGGAAGTCACTTCGTGATGTAGTGGCCTCAGGCACAAATCCTCATTGGGCCAGCAGCGGCAAGAACAAGGTCGCAAACAGCACGGGCATCCACCACCGAAAATAAAACCTAAGCGCTTCTCTCACTCACCGCGCGCAGGATGCCAGCGAAGATGCGAGGACAGGTTCTGCTCCCCCGTTGAAACATGCCGACTTTGAAACATGCAGACTTAGAGAACCCTCAGCCACTTCAAAGTCGCTTTTCACAGCAAACTGGACCTACCATGGAAGAGCCTTGCAAGGTAGGGCCAATGGATATTTCTTGAACTGAAAACTTCCAGAAATAGTCAGGAGGCCCCATACCCTTAATTCAAGAATACTCTTCAAACACATTAGGAAATTCTTGGGATCCTCGTATCACGCAGGGTATCTTGGGCCTTCTCGTGCTCCACATGATCAGCAGCATGGGAAATTTGCAAGATGGGGACATCTCAAAAAAAATAAATCCTACAGGTAGGTGCACATGCGGATTAGGGTGTAGTGAAATCCATAATAGGTGCTCGATGGGGATCCGTTCGCGAAACACCCTAATCGCACTCTCTTCGTAGGCCAACCTACCATGTCAGCTCAAGCGCGTCCAGCAAGTTTGGAAGTTCGCTTTTTCCAGCTGCACTAGTGCGAGCTCACGCCTGGCTAAGCAGGCGAAAGCTTCTCAAGTCCTCATGCATCCCAGCAAGTGTGGTCCACTCACTGGCGCATTTTCCCAAGGACCCAGTCCAAGGTCTGGCTTAGTTCTCCTACGCATCATCACATTGGTTGCACTGCGCTTGAAACGCCGCGTAGAGCGAGGCCCCATTGTTACGTATAGCATGAATGGATGCTTTTAAAGGGCTTGTAGATGACATATTATGTGGGTTTATACGTATATAGCGACTATCTAGGGCCAGATACCTCTGCATATGTATGTATGGACTATTACAGGGATCAAGGCGATGTTATGCCAACAATTTGTACATTGCTGGTTGTTAAGCGACTGACATACTGAAGAGGGCCAAGATCCAGGGGCGTTGCATGACGCTTTCTTCAAACTCTAGTTTGTTACAAAAACACTCTGCAAGCTTAAGGGGCATGCAGTACTTGCTTTTCGCATGTTGTTGCGGCAGGCCTTCAGCCCTATGCAGCATTTCGCGCAGTCTTCACGGCCGAGGTAGAAAATTGCCAGCCCGCATGTTCTAAGTATCCAGAGCTCTCAACACGCACATACCCTAAACCCCTAAACCCTGAGACCTACACCCGCAAACCCCTACACCCCAGACCAATAATGGAGAATCAGAAGAAGAACATGGGAAATGAAATGGAAACTGGACATATAGGGCTTCGAAGCATTAGGGATCCCTTTTTTGTAATCCCTATAACAAGGATTATAATGTTGGGGTCTGTATTCGGACCCCCGAGTATGGCAGCCCACATATACTCAAAAAAGTCAAGCTTAGTACATTCAATTCTTTACGACCATTGCCCCAAGCACGAAAAACTGCATTGGTCATGACGATCACGACGACACAGAAGTTCTCTATAGCAAGCAGACAGGCTAGAACAAGGTAAAGACGGAGACCAGATGTCTCGGGGTGGTTCCTTGGGTCACATCCAGAAGGCGATCAGAACTCGTCGCCGTAGCCTTCCTCCTCTCCTGCATGGCTTTCAACGGCTGAGGGCTCAAAGTTAGCAACCTGTAATCACTATTCCAATTACCTACAGTTTATTGCTTAAACCTGCTAATAATGAGGTTTCAACGGCTGAGGACCCAGGGTGAGAGTTCCTGTCTGAAGCTTTTTGCAGTTCAGGATTAAAGGTTAGGGGTTCAGAGGGTCAAAAAGGTTGGGCAGGCAGCGCCACACTTGAAAGTTTGTGCCATTGCAGCTGGGGGATTTAGATACTAGGAATAGGTGCCAGGTCTTGCTTGCATGTCCTGACATGCTGCAATGCGATATAGAAGCCTCAATGCTTACCCAAATTGTGGCACTACAATCCTTAATTATGCAATTATATCAAACTGTACCCGCATGCCCTTTGCAAGCTTTGCGACTCTTGTACAGTCGTTTTCATTTTATTAACACCATCTAGGCCATAATCCGATTTACCTAAATCCTAAACTCTAGACCCCTACTGTTAAGATGGCAAACATCCACAGGCCCCGCCTCCTGGTAGAACTGGAAGTTGATATGAGTCTTGTTGACAGTAATAGCGGTATCACTACTAATTCTAATTCATATCATGTTTACCATGATCTGACTACTGATGCTTACCACCACTACCGCAGTAAGTCCTGACTACCATCAAAAGCTTTGGGGATGCGCATCCGCCAGCCCTTCAAACGAGTTCATTGTGCGCTTCCCTCAAAGTGAAATATCGAGGGCATTTCAGAAGCAAGCAAAGAAAGCTCACCGAAAACCAGGAGCCCAAGTTTTCCTAATGACAAAGCCCCGAGCTGGAGACCAGGAACCAGAAAACCCAAGCAAACCAAAGAAAGTGATCCGACTCAGGTCCTTCCCCTTCCCCTAAACCCTCAAACCCATCACACCTAAACCCCTAAAACCGAATCATAACACTCTACAACCCCCTTAACCCTAAACCCCCTAAAACCCTAGAATCCGAACACCCTAAACCAACCCTAAACCCCTAAAACCCTAAACTCAGGTCCTTCCCCTTCGGCCGTTTCGATGCCTACCTCCTCGTAGTCCTTCCAACTTCGAGGCTTCACACCCGCGGCTACGGAAATCTGTATATAGGAGTTATATAGGGATAATGAAAAAGAAAATGGAAACCCTAGGTCCCTTTAAAGGGCTATATAGGGTTATATAGGGGTATATGTGTATACATATATATAGGGGTTATATAAGGATAATAGAAAAGAGAATGGAAACTATAGGGCTTATAGGGATTATATAGAGGTTATATTGGAAATCTGACTTTCAGGACCCTCCTTGTACCCTCAAAAAGAGGTTTTAGGGTTTGGGGTTTTAGGGTTTTAGGGTTTTAGGGTTTTAGGGTTTACGGTTTTACGGTTTAGGGTTCATCTCAGGACACTCCCTGTATCCTCAGGTGGGGGTGTATTTCCCTAATAATGGGCATCTAGGGCATATATAGAGTACAGAGTTAGCTTGCGGGCCAAACCCGTCTGAATAAGTCATGGCTATTTCATCCTTGCTGTTGACAACAAAAGATGCATACATTGAACAAGAGCATGACAAAGCGGTCTGGGCACATGCGTTTCTCACAGCCCCTTGCAGCCTTCTCCAAGGCTGCCAAATCCTCGCGGGCCTCGGAGAACTCGCCCTCCTCCATACCTGGCCGCTGTGGGTATACCCTAACTGCCCTTGCTTGAAAGGGTTGCTGCCACAAAGATCTGGCCTTCTCCGACGTAGTGGTGGACGAAGGCACGCTTGGAGTACATCAAGTCGAACTTGTGGTCGATGCGAGAGAAGACTTCGGCAATGGCGGTGCTGTTCGAGATCCTAACGCAAAACTTGGCTTCTGCAGCGGGCTCTCACAAATCAAGCTCTAAATCAAGTACTACGTAGCGGAATGACACTTGAAGGAAAACTCAGCTGTCTTCAAATCCTCGGAACGATGCGACCCAAAAGTTCTGCCAGGGGTCATGCAGCAGGCGCGCATCACCTTGGCCAGGTCACCGCCGGGCACCACGGTCGGTGGCTGGTAGTTGATGCCACACTTGAAGCCGGTGGGGCACCAGTCCACGAACTGGATGGTGCGCTTGGTCTTGATGGTGGCCACGGCAGCGTTCACGTCCTTGGGCACCACGTCGCCACCTCAGCATCAGCCAGTGCAGAACCAAAACACCTCAGTTTTTCCTGGCCACTTTAGGCGCCCGGCGGTACATCATGCA